GAGTTAACAGTGTAGCAGTGGGCGGGGTTGTACAGTCACGTGAGACGAGCGGCCGATATGTGGCTGCGTCCGTCGTCTTTTTTGCTGGGACTGGTGGTGTGCAGCAGAGGACTAGTGAGGAGCATGGTAAGTACACATATTAAATACGGGTTTTTGCTCATATTCTTCCGTCAGGTTGAACAGTGAAAGTCGCTGCTGTCTAAATGCAGACCAGCACGTAGGTGACATTGACGACTTCCATGTTTKGTTGTTGTGCAGCGGTCAAATAAGTCCGGTGTTGTTTGTCGCGCTATTGCTAGCTCAATTAGCCGCAGCTGCTGCAATAATCAAACATTTCAGCGATTTTTAAAGCATGTGAGCTCAAACTTGAAGCGTTTATCAACCCCAAAGTTGTTTTCTTTTACATAACAATAGCATGGCTTGTGGACAGTTCTAAGTGGATTACATTAAAAAAAATAGTCCGTTAGTTGCGTTAATCTGTGGGAATAAACATCTTTATCTAATCCTCCTTGTSTTTACGTATGTCATTCAAGGCGATTATGTGACTATTGTGGTGTAGCTATAACACTGACTCGATATTTCCTTCAATCTTCTGTTTTTCCTTCTCTGCGCAATGTTCTGTGTGGGGACTACAAGGGTGGAGGCAGAAATTATTACACAAATGGGCCAAAGTACGCAGATAATGCATAACATGGGTTATGCATTATCTGGCTTCYATATGGCTTCTCTGGAATATGATTCATTCAGTTATGTTGTAATTTTTTTGCACCTTTTGGCTTCTAGACTCTCATCCTTTAAACCTTCATCTCCTTATTTTTTTCTTTTTGATTTCATCTCCAGTGGTTGCTTAAAGTGTGTTATTTAACTGTATGTCTTATCCTTCAATCTTTTTTCAGTGTGCTCAAGTGGGAGACTGGCAGAGTGCCAAGTCCATTTATGAGTTCTCTGCCAAAGACATTGATGGGGAGGAGGTTYCTCTGGAAAAGTACAGGTAAATTCAACTGTTTATCAGCACTTTGTCCAACAGCTTATATGACCTAGTTTTTATTTTTTTTTCATGTTGAACAACCATACCACACCACGTTTATTTATAAAGCACTTTAAACAGCACAAGRCCAACCAAAGTGCTGTACAGTAGACACAACAGGACATAGGCAAAATACAGATAAAATTATGGAGCATTTGTACTTGCCTGGTAAAATAACAGTAAATAAAATAATAATAAATATTTACAGTACACACAGAACAGAGTTATGATACACGGTGAGGTTTTGCACCAGCTCACTCGGACTCAAAGCAGGTAAGGGAGTGTGTTTGAAGACAGCGAGGGAAGAGGACTCTGACATGTAGTGGTAGATTATTCCACACTTTTGGACCTGCTACAGAAAAGGATCTGTCACCTCTCAGTTGGTGAACAATGGTGAAAGATGACAAAGAATTTGTCAGTTAAGTCATTTCTCAACAGTCTTGGTCTAACCTTTTTGTTTTTGTTCATTTTCTCCCCTCTCTCAGAGGTCATGTTTGCATCATTGTAAACGTCGCCTCTAAATGAGGAAAGACTCGTGTAAACTACACTCAGCTTGCGGGAATGCACGCCTCCTATGCTGAGAAAGGTTTACGCATCCTGGGCTTCCCATGCAACCAGTTTGGAGGACAGGTAATGCTATTAGCAGCTCAGGGTTTTTGAATTTTTGTCCTTTATGCTACATGAAATTAATATAATCAGAGTAGCTTTTAATATCTTTATTTACATACTTTTTTCCCCCCTCCACTCTTCAGGAACCGGGGACTGATGCGGAAATTAAAGAGTTTGCCAAAGGGTATAATGCAGAGTTTGATCTCTTCAGTAAGATTGAGGTGAACGGTGACAACGCTCACCCACTGTGGAAGTGGATGAAGTCACAGCCCAAAGGAAAGGGAACCTTTGGAAAGTGAGTCATTCTTCTGCTTTTTCTGCTCAACCTGTTTTAAGCATACAAAGGTGAATGATCCAATTGTTTTCTCTCCTTTTCACAGCAACATCAAATGGAACTTTACCAAGGTAATTTGTCTGTACTAATGGAAAATTTTCTTTTTAAACCTGCTTACTAAATTTTTTCCTGTCAAAATTACTGAGATTTTCCTCCCCCGTTTTTAACAGTTCCTTATTGACAAAGAGGGGCAGGTGGTGAAGAGATACGGTCCAACAGATGATCCAAGTGTAAGCTTCAGTATCGTTGTTTACATATTTCTGGGCATGATTTGCAGCACCCTTCATTCAGCCCAAAATTCTCCACCCAGCATGTTGATATAGTGAAATATTTCTTTTCAAATATTTATTATAAATGCATTTTTGGGGTCTGTTTCTTATACAATAATTTGTTTCTCTGTGCAGGTGGTGGAGAAGGACTTGCCCACATACATGTAATGCTACTACTGAGTTCCTCTGATTCCTGACCTCTCATATGGACTTAAGGGTATCTGTGTGAGTGTGCCTGGGCCAGTGACGGCTCTGTCTGTAAACCCATCCCTGGGAAAGGCAGAGCCTGATGATCCTCAGCGTGCAACTTATCTCCAGAGCCCACTCATGTCAGACCTTGTAAGACCATGTGAAAGGGCATTTATTAGATGGCCTAAAAAAAAAAGACAGTTTGCATCCTACTGAAAATCTAAACAATCATTCCTTTTTATAATGTTTAACAAATTTACCCATCAGTAGCCCTTTTCACATGTATATCTTATTAGACAATGGCTTTGTTTCCATATAGTATTTTCACTCATGCTGTGTACGTCTCTCAGTCCAGTATCTGTGTGTGTCTGTGTGTGTTTTACACACATGAAGCAAGCTTTATGGAATCAGTAGTGACAACAGCACCATTGATTAGAGCTTCACACCCACCCTTCCTAAATTAGCTCTATAACTACAACCGCTTTGGTCGTTTCACACAACCCTAATGTACAMAGAAGACATCTCGTGCATGATATCTGAAAGGGGCTAGTGGTGTGAGAATATAAATGGCAATAATTGCACAATATTCTGTAAATCTATTAACAATATTGATGTCATTTGTCACAAACCATAACTTGAGTGATTGCATTWGAAAAATAAACCCTGTCTTGCACATTGGTCGTTTTTTCTTCCCATCTTTACAGTGTGTTGCAACATTTTTCTAGATCCAGTTATTTGTTTTATAGGAATCACCTACATTTATACTAAGTTTACTCGTATAGATTTTAAAAATTGTCTTGCATCATTATTTTTAGTTGCATTTTTTTATTTAGGTGTTGTCTAGAACATGTAGGCCGTTCATTTTACTAAGCATAAGCAGTTGCCATTTAAATAAATACAAATTTAAATGATAAAATTTACTGTTATTGACTACCAAACATCTAAACTGTAGTAAATATGTKTAACCTTTAGCAGTGCAGCATTATCATTGTACCATATGTCTGCATAAACAATTAGTACGTTAGACCAAAAAGACCTTATAAATTCTGAGAAATCTTAAGTGTACATTTAGGCATGAGTTGCTAAATAATGCAAAGTGTAAAAATGCAATAATGTATTACTGTATTTCCACTTGTAGTTCCTATTGTATGATTCCTTTTATAACAAATTGTTTTTATGAGCTCAAACTTAATCAGTTATGCAAGTTTAAATGCAACTCAAAACAGCAACACTGCTATGCTTTACTAYTCAATATTGCATGATGAACAGACAAATCTATAGTCTGTTATACCAGAATCACTGCCACACAACCCTAGTTAGACAGTGCATGTTTAGACAATACAAAGCTGTCATAAAGTTATATAATTTGTCGAATGTTGTTTTTTTTCTCCATAATTATCTAGATTATTCTAGATAAACATCGTCCTTCTCAAACCAAACCAAAACGGGGGGGAAAAAAATCGGTTTAATGCGGATTCATTWTGATGTTTATATAGCGGCACGCCGCGCGCGCAGACCGCTGCTACGCACGCACAGCGGCGGCAGCAGAGATGATCAAAGACACCGCTGGATGGCTGTGCGCGTGAGCTGCGAAAATCCAGCGAACGGATACACATTCCAGAAGCGATGTAGTACTGAGCCGCTGCTGTAAACACCGTTATCAACAGGGTGAAATGCCAGGACTTCCTGTTCRTATCCACCACCACAGCATCTGGGTCCTGTAGGCTGACAGCGGCCGGGAGATGGAGTCGGTGGTGACTGCAGAGGAAACCGGGAATGACGGAAGCGCGAGCGAGTGTCTTCAACCGGACGACGAAGACAGCGGTGTGTATGTTAAAAACAAAAAATGTCGAAGCCTCTTTTGTTTTTTTGTAGGGAATTAAAACGCAGCTATAGGTGTAAGCTAGTACTAAACATATTAGGGTATGGAATAAACGCAGGTTATATAAAATATGCGGGTTTCTGTGCAGATAAATAATAAATTGGGCAGATTATAGTTACAGGAATCCAGTCACCATTGCTCCAATGTCTGAGCTCACACAATTTGAAGCATTACGTTAGCATGCACCATTCGACTTGAATGGATAACATGACATATTTTTACTCCCATCAGCACAGTTTTTATACCCCTATGTTCCTATAAGTCTGGGTAGTGCCTTCAAATAATAAGAAATCATAACATGACACACTCATTGATCTCATGTATGAAGTACATTACAGATTTTAAAAATGCAATTTGTTCATCAGGTCCAGGAGTATGCTGCATTTTAATGCAGTATGTTGGGTATTTGTCACATTAATGTCACAGCCAGCCATGGCCTCCACCAATAAAAAACAGATTTAATCCTCTTCACACACACTCAGTCCTCTAGGTGTACTTTAAACCCATGACATTTAAGTAGAYAAAATACAAAGATGCATTATTCTATGATCTTAACTTATAAATTATTTATATATATATTAATTGCCTTTCAGGCCATCATAGATATTGCTGTGTCCAGTTTGCTTTCAGCTGGTGACCCATTACTCCAATCTGACCCTAATCCCATGAGACTCTGCGTACTCCCAGAGCCCTATACTCCCATCCGGTCCTAATTGTTCCTGAGTTATAATCTGCAGGTCTGAATGTCCTGATGAAAACAGCCTTTTTGTTGCATCTGTGCTCAAAGACAGCCAGTGTGTTCAGATATTTTCTTAACATGGGCACATGATAAAGACAAATCTTTTTCTTTTCAATGTTTGTTTATTTAGGGGAAGGGATATGTCTGTTCCAGATTATAGCATTAGCCTAAATCTAATGAATTGCTATCAAATTATCTGTAAACATCCTAACATCTGTGGTGAACATCTAGCGTTTATTGTGCTGCAATCACAAGATTTATGTGTGTTATGGATAATATGTCTGTAGGCTGAAGCAATTTTCTATATGCAGAATTTTTTTGTGCAGTATTTTATTAAAAAACAGTGAATTTAAATTTGCATTGTGCTTTAAAATGTCTAGTTGAGCTAGAAGGACCTTAAATTTGCAGAATCATCAGGTAAAACATTAAGCCATTGTGGGAACACACTGGATTAGTGGTTAGCCTTGTTACCTCACAGCAAGAAGGTCCTGGGTTCAAGCTACTGGTTGGATTTGGGGTATTTCTGTGTAGAGTTTTGTTAGTTCCYCTCATGTAGGTTTCCTCCCAAATGCATGCTTATGCAGGCCCAAGCCTCCCTGAAAAAAATGACCAAGGATCTCAATTACACAAAAAGTTAACAAATGTAAAAACTACACAACAGGTAGATTAACAACTATGGTGCTAACATTTCCTTTGGCCTTTCTTTGTTTTATGTAATAATAATATAATTATTGTCTGTAGATGGCTAAGATTTGATGTAAAATGTAGGTATTTTTTTAAATTACAACCTTTACATATATGCATTTTATAATTACACTTGTACAGAGTGATTGCCTTAAATTCTAGTCTAATTCATTGATTTTTAATCTTGTGAATGATCACTGTAGAAATGAACTAAAAACAGTGAATTCAGTGTGTGAAAGAAATGAAAGAGCAGGACAGAAAGCATGTGTTAGCATGCAGCCCAAAGTATTTCTGTACTAAACAAACTTTCCAAATCAAATATGCTGCATGTTAGTTAACATGTTTGACACTGACTTTTGTACATTTCCTGTATTTAGTTTGTCATCCATTAGTGGCAGCACCATCTGCTGCAGTGTTTCCTGTGTAATTTAACATGGCTTAAAGATTCATCCTCCAAGCTCCATCAGCTGCCCTTTCCTTAATATTCACCATCAGAAATCTGAAAGTCTGCACGATAACATCAACTAGCATCGAAATTCCTCCTTTCTGTTCGCCTCCCTCTCCGTGCCTCCTCGTCTTCCACACGCAGACACAGTTTAGTTTTTCCTGTTGGTTGGAAAGAGTCGTTCTAATCCTCGAGCATGATTGGATGGTGATGTGCCCTCAGCCAATGACGGCTCTCAGATTAGAGAGGATGGAAATCCAATAGAGTTTTTTTAACTTGTCTGTGCAAATCTCACGGATCCAGGAATAGAAAATACAGAAGAGTAGTCTCAGTTCAGACTATCAAAGTTTGCTTTGGCCTTTTATTGTGAATCATCATTTAAGTACTACACTCTTCTGCTGGTGAGTTGAACCACAAATTTATCTGGATCTAGTTTAAAGAACACAATTGAATTGGGTTTTAACTCTTATTTTGTTGAATTTGCAGAATTGTTAGGTCAATAAGCCACAAATTAAAAGCATCGCAGGCTGATGATATTTTCTTACTCCGTAAATTATTATGACTTTATGCTTTTAAAGATGTAGTATGTATATGTTGGTATTAGCTGTAAAGAAAAAGTCTCACTGTAATTTTCTCCCAATATTGGAAATATCTTAACATGGTTTATGATGTTTAAAAGTGTCTGGGTGATCTTTACCAACAGTGTGATCGTGTATTCAGAGCCACTATACCCTGCTAAATAACACCTGATCATAAATAATGTATTAAAGAAGATACCTCCTAATCTGTTTGATTCTTTCTGTTTGTCCGCAGATTCAGACAAGAAGGCTCAAATAACAGAGGTGAGCGGTCACTTCACACGATATACCTGACTCCCTCAGCTGTCTTTTTTTTCTCAGTGTCCTTAGTTGTCCTGCTGTGCTAGTTTTTTTGCATGATTCAATTTAGCACGACCTTAAATCATACAAGATGTAGTTATTTTTCTTTACAATGTTTTTTGTGTTAGATGCCCTCCCTGTTTGGGGCAGACCCGTCTCGTGAGAAGAAGATCGGCCACAGGAGGGTGGATGCCTCTGGGGAGACAACTTACAAAAAAGTACTTTAAAGTAGTGTAAATACTTGTATCCTGTATAATCGTCCAGCTCCACCTTAACTCCTTCTTGTCTTTTCTCTTTCCCCCTTTCAGACCACCTCGTCTGCCTTGAGAGGGGCCATTCAGTTGGGTATTGGATATACTGTGGGCAACCTCAGCTCCAAACCTGAGAGAGATGTCCTCATGCAGGATTTCTATGTGGTGGAAAGCATCTTCTTCCCCAGGTGTGTTTACAGAAATTTATGTGCGTTAATGAGTGTGAAGTTCTATATATAAAACCGTATATGTTTTCATCTTTTATTCTCTTTCCCACAGCGAGGGCAGCAACCTCACTCCAGCCCATCACTACCCAGACTTCAGGTTCAAAACCTACGCCCCCGTGGCCTTCCGGTACTTCAGAGAACTTTTTGGAATACGACCAGATGACTACCTGGTGAGATATTTGTGTTTGATCCACCTCTAAAACATTTATACTTCGTTAAGACAAAGATTCCGTGTCATGGTTGAAATTATACCACTGAAATGAACTGAACTTCACTATTCATTAGCACTAACCCATGACATTTGGCAACAAAAGATAAAAAAAATGTTGACAAAACTTTTAAAAATACTGATCTAATTGGAAATGTTGGAAGGAGGGTATTATGTATTTTCCAGGCACGTAGTTCACTTTTATACCACAATCAAGTAAATATGTTACCTTCAGTTGCGAAGAAAAAGATATATATATATAACAAAAATAAAACTGACTTTGCATCATAGGCTCGCACCTTGAAATTGGCCTCCGTTTCTTTAAGAACCTCCTACCCTTTCAGACACTTCCACTTCAGCACATCTTCACAACAATGCTTCAGGGGAGGGCTGATCTGTGGGGTGGGAGCTTGGCTGAAGACTGAGGTCTAGGGAGGAGCTTTGGCTAAACAGGCGGTGCTTTGTTCCAGCAAGTGTTTAGGCAGCTCCACATGTTTACAACAGGAGATTCAAGGATTTCTCAAACGTGCATGAATGAGTCAAAGCAACACTATTTTTGATGAGGGAATTACATACATGATATAAAGCTCATAAAAGTCAATTCTGCTTAGTACTCCCCACCCAAAAAAAATAAAATAAAATAAAATAAAGGAACATAAGGAAACATAGAAATGAACATTAAAGAGCCATGAAAACAACACTGTATGAAGCACTAATGTTGTGATTTTCTTGGTTGTACTTAATTAAATACACTATAACAAAAAAAATTACATGTTTGAGTTTCTATATGAATGGTTTTAGTCAACATTTGGTCTAATTGGTACATTTCTGTGGATGGTTGTTAAGATATTGCGTGCATAAAAAAAATCTGTGAACATTAGCACATCAACACATACCATTGCAGAAGGCTTTAGGTCTTGTGCGTGTCACAGTGCACACATGCCTCCACCCTTGCTGTGACTTACAGTGTGCTCAGTCTACCTGAGCCAAGCAGGGATTAGCGCTCTTATCTTCCAGGTCGTAGCAGCAGACAGTCAACATTGCTTGTGTTTGCGTCTGCATGTGAAGCAGAAACACATCGTTTTAGCCAAGTTTCAAAACGACTTAGTACATAGTCAGACATATTAACAACGTGCAAAAAGAAGGTTTTCCCATGAATTTAAGTCTTAAACCTGCAACCACAACACATGTAAGCTGCTGCTAGTAGAAAGAAATGCTTTGTTTTTACACATTTAGTTCTTTAAAAGTTTCCTGTAGGTGCTGAGGTTCCATTTGAGTGGGTAGTTTTACATTTGTCTTACAAAAAAGCACGGTTCAACTCACGGTTGAGAGTAAACTGTAATATTACAGATAACAAATTATTTGTTAAAATATGCTAAGTAACAACAAGGAAAACTTTATCGATTTGTAGCCAAGGCTAAAATTTGTGTGACATTTTCAAATGGGAATTAAAGTGTTTTAAGACAAGCTGTTGAGTTCAGTTATAAACTGTTGTCCTTCATCTCTCTCCATCTAGTATTCACTGTGTAATGAGCCTCTGATTGAGCTGGCCAATCCAGGAGCTAGTGGCTCCATCTTCTACGTCACCCGTGATGACGAGTTCATCATCAAAACTGTCCAACACAAGGAGGCCGAGTTCCTGCAGAAACTGCTCCCTGGATATTATATGGTGAGAGGGCAAAAAATCATTCCTGTGTTGCTTTTAATGTTTTAAATAAAGAATGTTAAAAGAGACACAATGTCAGAGTGTGTGCGGGTTGTTTGTGTGCCTGAGCACATGGTTAAGAGCAGCTCTGTAACAGGAGCTTCTAGTTACCGTGATCCTCTTTATCCAGCCTGCTGTTGGCCCTCTGTCAGCTGTGATGTCAGTTTGTGATCGGTGAAAGATCCATGCTCAGAACACTTAAAGGTTTAGGAGCTCGCAGGTTCCTGCTGAGCCACGTGGCCAGGTCACGCTGTGTGGCAGGTGCATGCGCCCGGTGCTGCAACACATCAAACAGTATCAAATAAAATGTCCTTCCTCGTTCTTGTCCCCMTCTCGCCTTCTCCCAGAACTTAAATCAGAACCCCCGCACTTTGCTGCCCAAGTTCTTTGGCCTCTACTGCATCCAGTGCGGAGGCAAGAACATCCGAATCGTGGTGATGAACAACATTTTGCCGCGCTCTGTCAGCATGCACCTGAAGTTCGACCTGAAGGGCTCCACGTACAAGAGGCGAGCGTCCAAGAAGGAACGGGATAAGGCCAAGCCGACTTTCAAAGACCTGGATTTTCTGACGGACGTTCCCGAGGGCCTCACTCTGGACCAGGATACATTCAACGCTTTGGTCAAAACATTGCAAAGAGACTGCCTGGTGAGAGCGAGAGAGAGACAGAAGGAATTGGTTATTGTGAGCATGTCCTCAAGCTGTGAAATGCAAAACAAAATGTCAAAAAAAATGTCTTTGTGTCATGTCAGGTTCTGGAGAGTTTCAAAATTATGGACTACAGTTTGCTGCTTGGCGTCCACAACAAAACCCATGCAGAGAGAGAACATCAGTCCCAGGGTTCCCCTACAGGAGCGGGGGACGAGAAGAGGCCCGCGGGGCAGAGAGCCTTGTATTCCACCGCTATGGAGTCCATTCAAGGAGGGTCCACATGCAGGGACACGCTGGACCAAGACGACACGTGAGTCATCGTGGTTTCCCACCCCTCAACAGCAAACGGGCACGTGGTGCAAACCTTTCTTTCCTGTTTTCTAGAATGGGTGGTATTCCTGCCATGAGCAGTAAAGGAGAGCGCCTCCTGCTGTTCATTGGAATTATTGACATTCTGCAGTCCTACAGGTAAGGATCAGTGGGCCTCATGCAAGAACATGTTCGTATTCTTCTCCTAAATTTCTCTTACTTTTGTTCATACAAAGGGTTCGTACGAACATGTCACGTCAGATTCAACAAACTCTTCTATCTTCAGGAAACGTGCGTAAATGAGCTGCGTAATTTACACCTTTTCTATC